GTTACAGTGATCTGTATGTTACAGCGACCTGTCTGTTACAGCGATCTGTATGTTACAGTGATCTGTATGTTACAGTGATCTGTCTGTTATAGCGAGCTGTCTGTTACAGAGGTCTGTTTGTTAGAGCGACTTGTTTGTTATTGCGATCTGTCTGTTACAGCGACTTGTTTGTTACAGTGATCTGTCTGGTTACAGCGACTTGTTTGTTATTGCGACCTGTCTGTTACAGTGATCTGTCTGTTACAGCGACTTGTTTGTTATTGCGATCTGTCTGTTACAGTGATCTGTATGTTACAGCGATCTGTCTGTTACAGTGATCTGTATGTTACAGCGACCTGTCTGTTACAGCGATCTGTCTGTTACAGTGATCTGTCTTAAGGTTATGTGCATATTACAACGTCTTCTCAACCTTTCGCGGGGAGCTTTTTGCATTTTCTTAGAATTACACATCGTTTCACAGAGCCTTTAGCTTTCTCAGAGAATATTACTAACTTTTCCCTACAGTTTGTAGTTTCTTCCTTGTTAAACTCAGTTGTATTAGGCTTTATAGTATGTCTAAATAGAATATTACCATAAAGTTTGCATAAGGCAAGGCCCCATGGAGCGTCCCGACTTTGATTTGACCATTTTCCATTCGTTTCACAAGTTCTGATATGGTGTCTATTGGTGACTCTTTCTCAGGAATGTTCATGTAAGAGGTCAGACTTCCACTAAATCCAGCCACGGTGATCATAGCAAAAAACCAGTAAAATGTAACGATTAATCGTAAAGAGTTAGTAGAAGGTAGATTTTGCGCACCACCTGTTAGTAGAAAAAAAACAAAAAAAACCCTAAGATAATGATTTAACAGTTGCATCGTGTATTTAAAAAGTGGCATCTTCACTGTGTTTTCTTGATATGGTTTACAATTTATTAAAACAGAAACCTTTAACTTATAATATATTGTGTTTAATTATCTATATAAATTCAAAATGTATTTAGTATTAACTTATGATGAAAACAAGCTACCTACATAGATCAGAACTTATACAAAATTTATTATGAAACCATGGATTAGAAACAATTATAATGATTAAGTGTTAGAATGATTCACCAGATGGCGAAATAAACTATAAGAGGTAAAATTATAGCTCTGTGTCATGTGACATGGGTATTCTCTAAATGGAAATGAACTAGATAATTAAAACGTAGGCATCGAATAAGTAGGGTAGATAGTCTTAGGGTAGGTTATTTAAATTTAACCACATTTTAAATAAGAAGTAAATCAGGCTAGCATAGTGTTTGCCTTTTAGGGTAAAACACAGTTACCAAGATAAGATTTGAAAGTGTTTCATGTCTAAAAGTACAATGAATGCGATCTGAGGACAACCCAAGAACAGAGATAATTAATAAAATGATATTTATCCTATAGTGAAGTTTTTCCTAGTACGAATAACTTTTAACTCTAGTCTTCATTCCGTTACTAACTTCCCCTGGCAAGTGTGGTATTTGACATCATGTTAACTTAGTAAGATCTCGGTTATAACACGTTATATTTTGCTACATTGCTGAAACTATTACCATTCCCCTGGGGGCATTAAGAATTCAATCAGCTAACTTATTTGAATGTTTCCAACATGGGTATCCAATTGAGTGGATGCAGAAGGCGTCTTTTTATCTACTTTCTTCGTAAATCTATCTATCGATTGACACATACCCCTTTTTAAAAATATAAGTTGGTTGACTAGAGCCCTAATTCGTTAGACCCAAGATAAATGCTCGGTACAGCGTCCTCTATATAAGACTCTCTATAGAAGACCCAGATTTAAATCCCAGCCACTATCACTACCAAAACTATCCCTCTCAGGAATTTCCTGAAGACGGCAACAGATAAGCAGCTAGAACGTAGGATAAAACTAGTTAGTAATAAATAAAAAGTAGTAATTAATTAATAATAAGTTAGGTGATCGTAGAGGCTACTAATTATGACAGCGAATATACTGTTTGCTACAATGTTTATTATCCTCACTAAATAAAGGTGTTATATTTTCCCTGATTGTACAAATGACTGAATAGGAAAAAAAAAACTTTCTCAAGAAAAGCTTATTTGAATCTTACGTCTTAGTTTTCCGAAAATGGCTGAACCCCAGCCGAACATTGATTGTGGTTTTCCTCAGTTATTCAAAGCTGAACATTGTGGTTTTTGGTAAACATAAGTCAGTTATTCAAAGCCGTGAGGTATTCAGGTCTTAAACAGAGTGTGCTTATCAGATGGTAACTGAGTAAACCCACACACATTTCAAGTGAATGTTGTACCATATAATTAAATGACAACTGCGTAAACCTGGTAAAAAAGTGCGTCTCAAGTGAAACTAGTGGTATATGATAATTTACGTTTACATGTAAATGTATCTGAAAGATAATAATCCAGGTATGGCCATCTTCCGATTTGTTTAATCTACTAGCTCTAAACTGAAATTACAACATTTTAGGTTATGTCTTATTATTAAGGGCTCATCCAACTAAATAGTGTCTAGTACAACTGTCTCGAACAATTTGATGAGTTACACAGTTACAAAGTGTTATTATATCCATTTGAGGAGTTGCACAGACATAGAAAGTGCCATTATATCCATTTGATGAGTTACACAGGCATAGACAAAGTGCCATTATATCCATTTGATGAGTTACACAGGCATAGACAAAGAGTCAATATATCCATCATATTATTTGATTCGTAATAAACATATAACTCATTATTGATGCTATCATTAAAAATTAACATTGTTTAAATACAATTCGAAACTTAATTATGAAATAATATATTTATCAAAGTATATCACAAGTGGAATGGTTATACATTGCACGAGCAAATAAGAATGAATAAAATCAGGTTTCATTTAAAAAGTGCTGAAGCATACGGAGTTGTGCACGTCATATCAAAATGATTTCGAACCGACAACACGCCATTACAGTCCATACTGCCACATCTGATCATGCTGTATAACAATAGCCATGCAGCACAGTTTACTCTGCAAATAGTTCTGTCTTAAGGATGTCATGTCCAAACCACACTACTTCTTCTTGTTTGCTTTCTACAATCCGACTAAAGTATGAGTACGACGGGTTCCCAACGTTTTCAACAGTAAGATAACACAGAATCTATAGGTACTGCGTCAGGTAACTTGACTGATATACCTTTGTATGGAATAGCACAAATACTCGTTTCATTCTCCAACTACTTAACTGCTTGAGGTATGTGACGGTTGAACGGTTTTTCTTGATTATGTTGCAAACTATAGCCTGGAACACGTGGACGGCTTTTACATTGACCTTTGTTTTTGTGGATTCTCATCTATTACAAGACATTGCACTTTATTTACAACGATAGAAGTGCAACTTGTTGCAGGTCTCTTCCTGGGTGGTCCTGGTGCCCAACATGGATCCACATTCATTTGTTTTCCAATGCCTCTTAAGTACATCCCGTCTTGAAAATTCTAAATTCCTGATCTGAATACATTTTCATGATGTGAGAAGATGAATATGTAGCATTGGAAATCCTGTTATGCTACATACCCTTCCAAAAACAGTCAGTTTTTTGGTGACATTACACTACCTATATAATGACAAGTAATGTCAAAATGTAGTTCTGAGACATTCCATTCAACTGCGACTTTATATTGGCTGTGCATTTTAATGTAACGTACTCAGTCCTCTGTATGACAATAACTCATATAACTCGAATTTACAATATTGATCACTGAATGTCATCACTGAAGTGTGGCAAAGATCAGGAACAAAGATTTACTATTCAGATGTCTTTAATGTGATTTAAACCTTTTTTTTTTAGTCTTACTAGATGGGGCTGGTGCTATAGAAATTCACTAACACCGAAGTTGCAGTACAGGTTAATACATAATTCTAATTTTCGTTTCTGAAAAAAAAAGACTTTTTTTTCCACTATTTTCAAAGGATTACATGTTCTGGGAACCAGGATATACAATGTTTAACAACGCCGCGTATATTGTGTTACCCTCATTCGTATGTCACACAACTATAAATATAAAATGGAGGATACAACATGATGCCGATAATTGTAGATTATCCAAAGAATATTTTTATTATACATATCAGTTGTTGTTTGTAGACCTGTCTAGTATTGCAAAGCTTAAGGAAATGTTTTATTTAGCTTAAACTAAACTAAATTAAAGCTACTAAAAAAAACAACTCAAAGCCAGCTGTTATCATTCATATATTTTTTAAGTCTTCCCTTAAACTCACTTAAATTTACTGTCTTCACCACATCCGAAGGCAACCCGAAGACCAACCACCCTGTTAGAAAAATAAACCCATCTTAGTTGAAGATGACCCCTACCTTGTCAAAATTTATATTTGTGCCTCTTAATCTTACCATTCTTATCATTAAATATGAAAAAAGACGATGTATTAATACTATCAATTCCGTTTAAAACCTCTAACATCTTAATCAGATCCTTTCTAACTCGTCTTTTTTCAAGAGAAAACAATTTCAGAGATCTTAACCTCTTCTAGTAAGACAACTTGTCTATGCCAGGTATCATCCCAGTAGCCTCCCTTCTCTGAACCCTTTCCAATAATTCAATGTCCTTCATAACGTAAGGAGCCCAAGACCGAACATAATACTCCTACTCCAAATGTAGTCTAACCAGTGACCTATACAATGAAATTATAACATCTTTAGAATCGTCTTCAATATTTCTGTAGATACAACCTAAAATCCTATTCGCCCTACCACTAGCAACAGCACACTACTTGAATGGCTTAAGAGACTGATCAACCTTTACACCAAGATCCTTTTCTTCCATAACACTGTTAAGATTATTCCCATCTAAATTATACTTATCATTCAAATTATGATAACCCACATACTTTATCTTGCATGCATTATAATTAAAACCCGTTTGCCATTTATTCTTCCAACTAAACTTAAACCTAAATTCTTTTGTGAAGTAGCAGCATCTTCCTCACAACCAGCAACACCCAAGACCTTAATATTATCAGCAAGTGTGAGTAATTTATTGACCATTCCTTGATCTATGTCATTGATGTAATTTTAAAAAATCAACCCTGACTTAATTTATAACAACCCTCCACTTTCTTACATCCAGCCATTTTCTATCCAATTAGCCAACTTATCCCCCACACCTATAGATATATTTTTACAACCCTTTTATTTGGTACCTTGTCAAATATTTTTTGAAAATCCAGACACACCAAATCTACACTCTTAAGCTCATCTACATAAAGAGTAACCTTTTCAAAGAACGTCAAACGATTTGTAACACCAGATTTTTTCTGAGTGAAACAATATTGACTATCCAATAACATCCAATAAAATCATTTTTCATCAAACTTTCAAAAACGTTTCGCACAACTGACGTAAGATTAATAGGCATATAATTACTACGACAATTTTTATCATTCCCCCTTAAAAAGAGGAGTAGCATTAGCTAACTTCCAATCCTCTGGAACCTGCTCCATTTTCAAGGACTTACAAAAAATAGTAGCAAGTGGCTCAAATATTCAATCTTTAAACTCCTTCAGAACCCTTGTGGAAATATTTTCTAGCCCTGGAGTCTTATCATTTTTTAAATTTCCCAATTTTTTTCTTAACAAGCTCAGAATTAATGTGATAATCTTCTTTACATCTATCAACTATTCAGGATGAAGAATATTGCTTAAATCTTCATTAATAAGAACTGAAGAAACAACATAACTTAATAACCCAATCATCCCATAATCATCAGACACGAACCTTATTTTATCATCCCTCAAAGGACCTACACCCATCCTAACATTTTGTTTACCCTTAATATATTTAGGTAAATCCTTTTTCATAAATCCTCTATGATTTCCCAATTTCCTGTTTGACTAACTCTCTTGATTTCCCGTCATACCAGCTAATTTCAATTTCTTAAATTTGTGATGCTTTTCTTTAATTTTATCCATTGTACCCTTTGTGAGCCAACCTATATTTTACTTACAATCACCCTTTTCTTTTAACTAAGAACATACTTAAAGCTTGACTTTTAAACATTTTCCACATTTCATCAATGTTTCCAAATAATTTAGCTGCTGAACTCACAATAGATAATTCTTGTCGCATCTCTTCAAAATTTGCTTTATTTTGAAATTTGTAACCAAAATATCATTATTCCTTATTTCCCTATGCAGGAAAACATCGGACCTAACAGATCACTTGCACCCAGATGTTCCCCAATTTTCACCTTCAACTATTTGTACATTAGGTGTTAACAATAAATCTAAAATAGCATTGTTTCTAGTAATTTCTTTGACCAGTTGGAGAAGAAAACCATCTTGAACAGTTTCTAAAAACATTTTTCCCTCCTGGTTTGACTCTGACATTTCCCAATCTATATGTCTGAAATTAAAATCATCCATAATTATGACTTCATTAACAGCTGAAATCTTAATTTCATTGTAAAGTTTCTCATTAATTCCATCAGTATCACCCGGTGATCTGTAACAAATTCCCACTAAAAGCATTATACCCTTATAACCACTAATAGAAATCCAAATGGGTTCAAATTTACTTCTATCATCTTTGATATTTTCAACTTCAACAGGCTATAACTCACATTTTACATGTAAAGCCACTCCCCCCTTCTTTAGTACTCTATCCCTATTAAGTAACCCATAACTCTGTATTTTAAAGAAATTTCTGTCATCAAAATTGTCTACGTTTAATCATGTTTCAGTTATTACCATTATATCAAACTCCTCCGTTTCTACCAGTGCTCTAATACATAATCACTCAGTTTGTTAACAATAGGGACTGAATCCCGAATTTTTGTGTTATAAACCCTTAAGCTTAACGTAACCAAAATCAGAGATAATTGTATATATATCCTTGCACACAATACTGGCAAAATAAAAAGTAGTAATTTGAAAAAAAATCATTTATTTTTCTTAACACCTTTTGCTTCACTTTTATTTATTTAAGACTTTTTACTTTATAAATGGTGCCTTTACAATATATATATACCTTACTTTATATACATATTAACATTAAAATGTTTTATTTTATGAATATATATATATATATATATATATACATATATATGCATACTATCATTAAAATATTTTCCCTTATGACATAAGAAGATAAGAAATCAAACCTTGTGAAGTCAAAGCACCAAAATAATACCAAAGAGCTTGGCGAAAGCTCCATTTCTGGGCATTAGGGTTACAAGTCGTTTTCGCCACAAAAGTAGTGAACAAAGAAGTTAGCAAAACCACCACCAGGAGTCCAATCCACACCTGAAAGAGGTTTAAAGTTTCAGTCCTGTAAATATTTTCCTGACAACTTGTAGGTGTTTTTTGTTTTTGTTTTTAAGTATAGAGTATGAATGAAATTTTCACATATCTTTTCTTACTGCTCACTCTTATCACAAATATTATTCCGAATTGTTGAAATCTCAGTTTGGTAAACCTTCACACGTGGATACTTAT